TCATAGAATCATAGAATCATTGAGGTTGGAAGAGACCCTTGGGATCATCGAGTCCAACCATCTACCCTACTCTACAAAGTCCTCCCCTACACCATATCCCTCAGTACCGCATCCAAACGTCCCTTAAACACATCCAGGGATGGTGACTCAACCACCTCCCTGGGCAGCCCATTCCAATGCCCGACCACTCTCTCTGTGAAAAATTCCTTCCTAATGTTCAGTCTAAACCTACCCTGTTGGAGCTTGAAGCCGTTCCCTCTTGTTCTGTCATTAATTATATGTTCTGTCGTTTCCTCTCAGTGCCATCTCTCGTGGTTTAATTGCAGGCAGGGAAGCACACGGAGCTAGTATCAATTTTTTTTTTTTTTTTTTTTTTGGTCCAAGTTCTGTAAATATTTTTTTCGTCCAAGTTGTGTAGTTATTAGCCAAGCAGTCAAGCTGCAGTGCCCATTTTGCATCATCTAACCGGGCGTCACCAACATCTGAAGGCATCAGCGTCGCCTTACGTTGGACTTCTGTTGGAGAAATCCGACTTGGCATTACCACAGGAGGGGGGAATAAAAAAAAATAAATAAATTAGTCCTAATCAATCCTGGGGGATTCGTTCACACAGAATTCACTTCATCCTGGCCTGAGCTGCCGTCGTGCAGAAGGCTCCTCAGATTCCACGTGGCCCTGTAATGAACGCAGCGAAGTTCTCTGTGAGCCTTAATGGGGAACAGGACACCTCATGTCTGCAGCTTTGGGTCCTGACACTGCAAAGGTGACAGCGCTGCTGTAGGTCCTCATTTGCCTCTCGTTTCCATAGGGAGTCTGAATGCTGTGCAGTCCCTGCATCATTCTGAATTAAAGATCGAAGAGGCTGAGGGACTTGGGTCTTTTTAGCCTGGAGAAGAGAAAGCTGAGGGGGGATCCGATCAATGCTTATAAATACTTAAAGGGAGGGTGTCAACAGCATGGGACCAGTCTTTTTTCAGTGTTTCCCAGTGACAGGACAAGAGGAAATGGGTACAAACTTGAATATAAGAAATTCCACCTAAACATGAGGAGGAACTTCACTGTGAGGGTGGCAGAGCCCTGGAACAGGCTGCCCAGGGAGGTGGTGGAATCTCCGTCTCTGGAGACATTCAAAACCCACCTGGACACGTTCCTGTGCAACCTGCTCTGGGTGGACCTGCTCTGGCAGGGGAGTTGGACTAGATGATCTCCAGAGGTCCCTTCCAACCCCATAGCATTCTGTGATTCTGTGATCATCCTTATCCTCACTTTGCATATAATACATTGAAGGGTTAAAGGAATGAATGGACATCACATAGAGGTGGAAGGAGCTATCCAGGGTTGCAAAGGGATTTTGCAAGCCCAAATCTGTTCCTGGGCTTCCTGAATCACTGGACTCTCTTCCTTTCAGTAAATGAGTTTGCTGAATTCTTACCAAAGGCTGATGGCAGTCCATGCTCAGGAGATGATTGCAGTGTTGATAAAGGCACACCTCGTACAATAGAAGACATTACCTTTGAAGTGTGTCCACATGGTAGCTCCTTTCTGCCTCTTTTTAAATTTAAATGGGGGAATGAAAAGAGAAGAAGGACAGAGATGAGCAGGAGAGACCTGTGGGGACTGGAGAATGGTGTAGAAGATTACGCTTTTGTCAAAGATAAAGATAGACTGAGTCTGAAAAGAGACACAGGGATAGGAGGGTAAAGGAGAACAGAAGCCCCTAGTGCGAAACCCATCCAAGGATAATTTTCCTGTGCTTTCCCCCAAAACCAAATAGCAGTTGCACTGCTTACAACAATGGACCAGTATGTGTAATCTGCACCTCAACATGTGCTTGTGGCCACACTGCTGACATCTCCTGCACAATGAAGCACATCCACAGTTATTTTCCAGTTGTTACTGTGCCATGGATACGTCAGGATGGACACACAGAAGTTCAGCTTATTGTAACTAATGTTCCTTCCATGTGTAAGGAAATCTGTGTGGAAGCGGGCAAGAAATGCCTTGGCAAGGATTTTTGGTGGCCACTTAGTGTTTGTTGAGGAGTGAAAAGACCTATCTGTGCCCTTCCCATCTTGTGGAGTGGGGTCCTTAGCTAATGGGAAGCTCTGAGGTTGAGTGAGCTGAGAGATGGGGTCAACAACCTACTTCTAAATAAGAGTGGAAGAGGCTGCCCTGCTTGCCTCAGCAGTTCTGTAACTGAAAGCCTTAATATGTTTGTTGTTCATTAAAGGCAGGATTGAGGAGGCGAACACCGATCCGAGCAGCAACCTGGGTTCAGGATGAAAGAGAATTTATCTTTCACACCTCTGGGAGAGCTTTCTCTCGTAGTCAGAAGGAGGAGAGAAATCCAGCCCTACCCTGACGTCTCCAGGTACCTGCATCAAACAAACCCACCACGCTCCCCCTGCAGCAAGCTCACCTTTGATTTAGCCAGGTACTCTGCTGAAACCTTGTGCTGTTACTTCCCAGCTGACAAACCAGTGGCCCAAACCTCCAGGGCATCAGAGCTGCCCCTTCTCTTCCAGTCTGTGACACATCTCTCAGCCATCGAAAAAAACAGACCTGCTGCTGTCAGACCAGCTGTTAGCACCGCACGACGTGAGCTTGCCCAACCTTTTTCTGTACCGAGGGCTTGCAGGCAGCTCGAGAGGTTTGAATGCAAGAGGAGATCCCCCTGGGACTGTCAGTAGCAGGCTGACTGCAGGAAAATCACAGATTATGGCAAAAAGGCAGTAACATCTGCTGAGTTACTTAAAGTGGAAGCAAGTGTCTCTATTGAGCAATAGACTGTTTCGCGGCTGGTAAATAGTATATACTCTAAAATGTCCCTTGGGGTGAGGAAAGAAGGATGAGAGAACTTCTTTTAATTATCTTGTACGTGTTCTGACTCAAGTCTCAGGAAATTAAGCTCCAAGGGGGCTAGATGTGGCAGCTGCAAGACAGTGGCCTGTAATATCTCCGGCCGTGGGACGTGAACAGAGCCAGATTCTCAGGAGAGCTGTGGGACAGCCTGGCTGTGGGGGGAAACCTGGACTATGGTCCTCCAGGTGGCACCTCTCCCCCCTGGCTTCACAAACAGCCTCTTCCTCAGCACAGCATGAGACTGTACAGTCCTGCTGGAGATGCTGACATCCTACTGATGGAAAACTTCCATCCCCATCACTTGCCTTCGTAAAAGCACACATGAGGTAATTTATTTTATTTTCTTGCATAAAAAAGAGGCTCCTCAGACTCATTACTTAAATGCCTCAAAATAATTACATTGCTTACACGTGCTGTTGGGAGGTCTGCCTGTTTATCACCCCCAAAGTTCCTGGTTTTTGGTGGGGGCTGTAGTCTGTAGGCTGTTTCTGGGTTTGCTGTAACACTTGCCACTCATTACGAAAGGCGCTTGATAAAGCTAATTTCAGTATCCTCATCGCTTCATAGTCACAGCACCTAAGTGATAGGGAAAAGGCAAGTTCAGTTAGTGTATCAGATTAATTAAACACTCGTGTTAATTTTTAATAAGCAGAACAGAATGTTTCTATGGGTTGAAGGTCAGGGCTGCCTGCTACGGAGTCTTCCCACAGCAGGCTAAAAAAGAAGTAGGAAGGAAGCTTGGCAGGCAAACCTGTTGAAAGGCTGGTGTTAATGCCTGTAGGTGGCATAAACGCAGCGTGTAATTGCAATGCTACAACTCATCTGCAGCCTTTAGTCTCTTTGGCAGCTTGGTAGGTTTGCCCGAAACTTGAAGCCAGATTTTTATTTTTTTTTACTTACACCAGAGTGCTTTTTTAGACAATATCCCAAGATATTTTTTTGTATCTTAGGTGACACAAAACATATTAAATATCCATTTGGGTTTGCTTGTAAGTCTAGAATGTTAGTTTTCTTTCTCTTCTTGAAAAAGCTTTGAGTGCCTGCAAAATAAATCATCCTTTATTGCACTCCACATCACAAAATTTAATCACAAAGTAAGAAAAATCTGGTTTTCTTCTAACCTGAAACAACCAAACCTCCAGCCTGTACCTGGGTCGTTCATTAATAGTCACTGAAGAGCTGCTGACCCACAGTGATGTATCCCAAGGGAACTGGCCAATGACTCCAGCTGGGGCAGTGTGTCTGAAAGCAGCATTGTCCCAAAGATACAAACTTCTTCCAAATTACTCAGATACAGTTCTTCTCTGCTGCCATTCAGCCTGTTGTGGATTATTCTTGACAGGAGTAAGGAGGCACTAAAGGCTAATTAAACGCAGCAAACACACTTCATAGCTAAAACAGAGAACTAGTAGAAGTCACATTTGATAATGTTGGCCATTATCAAAATCAGATATGTATGATTTTCTTTAGAGGAAGACTAAGCATGTGCCACAGATAATTGCACGTACAGTCTGTGTTAAAAAAAGAAATATGTAATATTCTCATTGCTGTTTTGAGAATTGCTGTAGACTATATCAGGCAGTGTCGTCTCTAGGCACAGAGATGATGCTCATGGTTGGCTGAACAAATTTATTACTCTTGTCAAGTCTGAGAACTTTTAAACATACATACAAATAATTTTTTTCCCCCAAGGAAAATAACAGAAAAATCTTCAAATAATGTCTTTTTAAAATTTTGGCCTTTTTCCTCTCCATGTCCCAGTTTTTCCATCTCCTAAACGATGTCAAATTCACTTTGCAGGAACGTTGAAAGGTTTTAGTAATAGATAGGAAATGTACTGAGATCCTTGGCTGGAGGATGCTCTGTAAATATAAGATGTTATGGCTAATAACACAGACCTAAGTTATGACATGAATTACAAAGGGTGCCGTGAGGCAATCCCAGAGCTTTCCAAGC